AGAAAGGAGACATCACCATACAGCTATGAGGGATCCTCAGGACCCATTAACTGACGAGGAGGTGTTTGCATTGATCGAGGCAAGGCTTGCTAGATACAGGGCTGAAATGGGCGCACTGAGAGATGGCCCTTTCTTCAATGGAAGCCTGTCCGATGCTGGACAGCGGGATCAACAGTTGGACCAAGCAGCCCAGGATATCCCTGACAGTGTCTCTCCAGATAGCCCTGTGGTGCAAGTGTCTGATGGCATAGGGACTAGTGATGACAATAGTATGAGAGACCTTCTGGAACTGTTGGAAGTTGAGGATTTTGGACTTTGGGGCTCTGGACTTCCAGACTTTGGACATCGGGAGGTTGAGGTTCTGGCCCCTGAGGTTCAGGAGTCTGGATATCAGGATTTTGACATTAGAGATGGTGGAGGACAGGGTTTTGAGGTCCTGGACATTGGAGATTGGGTTGTTGAAGGTCAGGGCGATGAGGTTCAGGATGTTGAATATCAGGATATTGCCATTTTAGATTTTGGGATTCAGGGGTTTGAAATTATGGGTCGATGGACTTCAGGTTATTGAAGAATTTGGCAATTTCTCTGACTTTATGGATTGGGCTGATCAAGGGGACTGTGCATTTAACTGACGTGGTTTGGATCCGACATAAGTGATAATGGTGGGGGTGACAAATTGGCCTATAAGGGATGTTTAATTTATCACAGGATTGTGATAAAACAGGGGGAAGATTGATTATTGATTATTTTTTTATTGATTGATTATTAATATTATTTTTATAATTATTGATTGATTATATAAAAAATAAATAAATAAAAAAATATATATATTCATGATCCAGAATCAACTATTTAGATGAGCAATTGAGCAAATCAAAGCTGAAAACACTAATCTGGTATGCATGGGATAGACTTTAAGACTGAGGTGTTCACCATGCAGGTACTCTCAACATGATAGGACCATGGACACTCTTAGGGTTGAGGACACGAGAGTGGGTGAGTATGGTGGTAGGTATAGGGATTATAGCTGGATTTTTTATGTGGGCCTGGGAAACAGAGTTAGGCCAGGGGTATGCAAAACCAACAACTGTCTATGGTAAGGAGAAAACTCTTGGTGTCAATTCCTCAATTTCTGATTATTCAGACATTTTACCCGGAAAACAGATGAAAGAACGCAAAGTTCAACCTACAAAGGTGACAGGGATAAAAATAAGACCAAAAAGGGAATTGGATAAACTGGGAGCATGTGCAAAAAAGCGACAATACCTATTTGGGGTGCAATTGTGTTTGGCAAAGGGAGAACATATGGCATTCCAGGTACCTTTTATAGCATTAGTAAACAAAGGGAAAAAAGTGGGAGCAGAAAATTCAGATTATGAATGGTACATGACAAATGACATGAGAGATAAATCATGGGGGACAATGGTGGCATATACTGGATTAGATTGGACACCAACACCAACTACAGAGTTTGCAAGACACCATTCTAAAATAATTTCCATGACAAAGGGGATTATGCAGGGAAGTGTACCATGTCTTACAATTACAGTGGACTTGAGAGGTGAGTCATTGGACCCAAGAGACAGATCAGGGAAGAAACCTCTATGGTTTTGTTGGGGATTTCTGGTATGGGCATATGTGCCAGGAGAAGACCCTTGGGCATTAATTACTATATGTGAAGATCCAGTCAGTGTCACAAGAGAAGGGGGGCTTAACGTAGGACATGTTGGTAACACAAATCTAGTAATGGTATATAATGCAACTCTCTTACACGCAGATGATGTTTTCAGAATGGAGACAGGAATAACAGCTACAAAAAATAATTGGCTATTTATGATTGAGCAAGCTGCAAAAGCTACACAACTAAGTCAATGTATTGCTTGTATGGGACCAAGGCCTATGTTACATGCAGTACCGACTGTAGTAGATAGGGACAATCATACATGTTTAGTAGAGATTATGATGAGAGATAACCTATACCCTAACTGTTCACTATATGATAAAATATATCCGGTAACTGCCACAAATGCGACACCACCAATTTTTAATTCACAAGTAAAAGGTGAATACACCTGCGTCATTAGGAAGGTCCTTAGTGGAGAAAAAAGGGAAGTAGGACATGTAAATAGATCCTTATGCATTAGGTATGAGGATTTCACAGAAAAATTAAATGGACACAAGTTGACAGTAGCCAGAGCAGATGTGTGGTGGTATTGTGGTGGCAAGTCTTTAAGGGGATATCTACACCCTCTGTGGGATGGCATGTGTGTGTTGATCTCATTACTCATACCAATTGAAATAGCTCCAGTGGATCTAGAGAAGCCAGAGATTTTGAAACAAATCATTAGTGTAAAAACCAGATCAAGAAGGGCACTGGCTAGACCAGAGGGAAGTCCAGTTTATATTGATGCAATAGGTATTCCTAGGGGAAATCCAAATGAATACAAATTGGTTGATGAAATTGCATCAGGATTTGAAAACATACCAATAATCTCTGCAATTTTCCCAGTAACCCCAAATAAGAACGTCGATCGGATAACTACTTACATTACAACATACAGAGGCTAAGCAATTATACATATGATGGATTTGAGGCAATTCATGAACAATTATCAGCCACATCCTTAATGACCTTCCAGAACAGACTTGCTGTTGACATGATTTTAGCCAAAGAAGGTGGAGCCTGTTCATTGATTGGCCCTACGTGCTGTACGTTTATCCCAAATAATACTGCCCCAAATGGAAAATTAACAAGGGCCCTTCAGGGACTGAAGGCGCTATCCCAAGAAATGAAGGCACATTCAGGAGTAGACCAATCAATGTGGGATGGGTGGTTGGATGTGTTTGGCAGATATAAGGCACTGATAGCATCAACTCTGCTATCGGTGGCTGTATTTGCAGCAATCCTGACGCTATGTGGATGCTGTTGTATTCCGTGCATACGATCCTTATGTAACAGAGTGATAACAGCCGCTGTGGAAGGGAAGGTGGCAGAAAGACAACTGCTACTAACCCAGGACCTACAGTGGGAACCAGAAGAATTGATGACCATAGCCTAAGCCATAAAGGACAATCATCAGAAGAACGGGTGAGTATGGCCTGTGATATTGTCAGAATATCACCAGAGGAGTTGTGAGTATGCTTTATGATATTATCAAAATATTTTAATCAAAAATGTATAACTGCTTGCATGTAAATAACGCACATAACCTTGCAAAATTGTAAGAGGGACTTGGGAAAATCGGGATGGAAAAAAAAAAAAAAAATAAAAAATTAAAAATTAAAATAAAAAATTACATAATTCAAATTGATGCACGACACAAACATATTCTTTCTCCACAGCTCTTGCAACTATTGTTTTTGTTACACAGACTAGACACCGCAGCACACCCACATATAGATTGTTTTATAGGATCACTTCAATGTATGTAGTTTAGGGTGAGTTGGATGCTCAGTCCGCCCAGAGGCCTTTGGGGCGGGTCTGAAGTAAGGGCTGAGTGGAAGACCACCACATTTTTCATAATGTCACATGGGGTGGTTTAGGAGTTCACAGATCGTCGTGAAGACTGGGATTAGACTGAGTATAGGATGTAATGCTGGATCAACTGATGAAGATGGGCCATCTGAGACGAGAGTGATGGATGTCCGAAGAGTTCCTCTCCGGCCAACAGGGGGACTGTTGGAATATTAACCTCCTGCACCAGTTAAAACTAAAATCAGTTTAGTATTGTTTCTGTTGCCAAATTAGCACTTGTTTGTGTAAATCTCAAAGAGCAGTTAGTTCAAGGTTAGTCTGTGTGAAATGGGAGGGAGACAAGAGTGGTTATCAGAGCAGGTGCAAACGTTGGCAGCTGGCCAGAAGGAGTCGTGGAGTCCATACAGTTGTGATGTCATTTGACCTTGGATGTATAGTATAAAGGGATGTGCAGAAGTGGTCACGGGAACTTTTTGCTTTTTCTTCTGACAAGGAGCAGTGAGACGTCCCCGAGGCCACTCCTTATTTTGGACGCGAAGCGAGACTTGTGTTCGCAGACCGTTAATATTGTAATATTGCTTGCAAATCTTCAATATAACCTTTTGAAATCAGGTTTGGTATCTGTCATTTCTATTTACTGTTTTAACATTGGTTTTTGTCTCTTGTTGAACTAAAAGGGCCTGCAGAACGAAACGGGCTGTGTTGCGGCCTGTCTGCAGCTTCTGGGGCAGGGGAATTCTGACAGAATTTACTGCAGTTAGCTACATCAGCACGCAATGCTGCACATTGTTTGTATTACGCATGGATCAATAATAATATATGGATAGGATATTATTAGCTTGGAGCCGAAGGACCCACGGGCTCAGGGGATTCTCGCGGTACTGCAGACTATGATCTAAACAATTCCCCAAAGAACTCATTGTAATTTAAAACAGCTCAACCTCAACTGACAGAGAACCTACTATAGCTTTCATAAAGATCTGATTTTGTGGGGATTTTAGTGTCCCTTGTCATCTTGAGCTTTATTTCTTCTTAGATCCCCCTTCTATAAATCCACACTTTAGTGCCACAAACTCTGCTCGGTTGTCTCCCGCTCTAGCTCCGCTCTGATCAGCAGCTCTGATTGGTCAGGACGTGCTGTGCCCCTCTGTGCACGTGCATGAGAGCCACACACGAGTATTTGGCATAAACCATTATGTTTTGTAGTGAGAAAGTAGTTCAATTGGTAGAGTATTGGCCTTTGAGCCTATAGGTCATGGGTTCGAGCCAACTTCCATGTTTGCTGTTGTTGTGTCCATGGGCTTGACACTTTTGCCTGAAGCCCCTGCTGAACAATCAAGGCTGTGTCGTAACCAACAGAGCAGCCATCCTCCTGTGGAATCACCACCTGCAGGAGGATCAGTGAGGGGCTGGTGCTCTGTGAATTTGGTGCAGCTCTGATTACCACTTTGATTTATCAATGTGAGCCTGTTCTGGGACTACAAGGACTAAAGCTCAGATTGTAAATGTACATGAAGCAGCTCACCGAGTTTCAGAGAAAACTCATAGAAAGAGTGGAGTTTAGCAACGAGTGGGAGGACAGCAGCCCAGGCCTTCTGCTGCAGCCGGTCCACCGAGGGTCTCTGGATGGCCTACAGAGACACTCACAGACACACACACACAACACAAATACAGATACACACAGAGACACAGATGCATACACAAAGAGACACACAGAAAAGCACATAGTCACACACACAGAGCAGGTGTTTGGGGTCATTATCCATCTGCTTCTCACAGATAGTGTAACGTTATCTTCCAAAATCTTTGCTATTTAATTTAATTATTTGGTTTTTAGCTATAGCCAGTAGTCGCAGTCATAATATAGTCATAGCACAGTCGTAGCATAGCCGTAGCATATTCGTAGCATAGTCGTAGCATAGCCGTAGCATAGCCATAGCCACGATCACATTTGGTCATGGAGTGCACCTGTCGGATCTCCTCTCCCGCTCCCCTGTACATCTGCAGCTCCTCCAGCACCAGGCGGCCCTCCTCCAGCACCAGCTTCACCTGTTCCCATGTGACTGTCTCTGCGTCTGAAGGCTGGGCGTCTGCAGGGTCAGAGGTCAAAGATATGTATATTACTTTACACTTTATATCCAAACAGATACAGTAGATAGATATATTAACGTTAAAGCATCTACAGCTAGCTAAGAAACATAGCTACTTATTTTCTATATTTTGTGTGCTCCCATGTGTGCTGCAACATTGAAATTTCCCCACTCTGGGACGATTAAAGGTTCTCTTATCTTAATGAAGTCCAGTCTCCTATTCAGTGACATGTGCTATCCACTCGGCACGGTGGCTGAGTGGATAGCACTCTCGCTTCTCAGCAAGAAGGTCCTGGGTTCGAATCCCGATCGGAATAGGGCCTTTCTGAGTGGAGTTTGCATGTTCTCCCCGTGTCTGTGTAGGCTTCCTCCGGGCGCTCCGGTTTCCCTTACCACTAAAAACATGTACAATAGGTCTGGCATGCGCCTCCTGTACTGGCGACCCTGGTCCCATCTCTGTGTGGAGTGAGAGACAAATGCCCAAAAATAACAATTATAAACCGCTTTGTGACTCTGGTCTGTGAAAGGCGGTATATAAATAAAGATTACTATGTAAAAGTGACAAGCTCAGTAAACAATTTTTGTCGTAAATCTGTGGCTTGTGATATTGTTTTTGTAAATCCATATATGAGCCATCGACACTCAGACCCCTCTCTTCACTTACTCTCAAAGTCTAGGAAGAAGTTACACCCACTGCTGTCCAGGTCTCTGGTCAACACCTTGAGCAGGTTCCCCATTCTGCCAACCACAGAGACACAAACATAACATTACAATCCACTGTTCTAAAGCTGCAGGACCATGGGGAGACTGTGAAGGAGGCTGTGGGGAGACTGTCAGGAAGACCACGAGGGAGGCCGTAGGGAGGAATGTGAGGGAGACCGTGGGGGAGCCCATGAGGAAGGCCGTGGGGGAGACTGTGAGGGAAACTGTTAGGGGAGACTTTGAGGTATATGTGAGGGAGGCCGTGGGTGGGACCGTAGGGGAGACTGTGAGGGAGGCTGTGGGGGACCATGGGGGAGATCGTGGGCCATGGGTATAAACCAGAGCTTGCTGAACCTTGAAGGTCTCACAGTGAAACAGACCACACTCACAGATACACAAACACACAGACACTATAAGACTCAGCTCCTGGAGGCTGCTGCAGACTGCAAAATACATAGGAGGAACCCTGGCATGTTATACCTCATTATAAATATGTAATTCAGTCTATCAAGTGAAATAAAACATTGAATCATTGACCAAGGTTGTGTTTCCATTAGTTCATTTGTGAATAAAACCAAACAGTAAGTGAACTATGAAACTCATACATTCATAATGTCCTGTATCTACAGGTGTGGGTCTCCCGAGGTCTTCTCTTCTTACCTCTTGAAAACGTCTTTACAGGATGGTCCAAAAGTTGGCTCTTGGCCCAAAGCTCCGTTCCAGATGTGTGTCAATGCTGAGGGGAGTGAATTTTTTTTGGACCAGTCTAGTTTAGTCGCTGTGAATTTTTGAAGGCACTCGTTCAAATGAATGGGGCTCTTGCCGGCTGACGCATGCACAGATGCGTTTTTTCACAATTTTCTTGTGGGCGGGACCACTCGCGGCCATTTTGGATAGCTCCAGTAGAGCAAATGTTTTGGTCCATTTGTTTGAACGGTGGAGATAGGCGTGACTACCTCCGTTAATATTTAAAGTCTATGGTTTAAACTGATAGCAGCTTGTGAAAAGAAGCTGTTAGCAAATCATATGTCCTGGATCTCAACAAATTACAATATATATTTTACCAGAGGGAAGAAGCTGGAACATGGATTTTCCAGGGGCCAGAAGAGTCATTGATTATCTAAAGAGCTCTGTTCAAGAGTCTGTATTCATAAAGAACCTCCAGAACAGGCAGCTCACAGGTCTCTCATATTTTCACTGTTGAAGGTCTGATGTCCTAGACCTATACCACTTACCGTAGTGTCGCATTGCAAGTTGGGTATCGTATGCCGGATGAGCTATGTATAAGACACGGGAGAGAGTAAGGCATCACATCGAACTTCTCACTCGAGCAAATTATTAATACTAAGATTATTACAGTCTCAGTCCTCTTTCAGAGCGGAGAACCTTGTTTAGAGCTCTCCTTTCTTTGTCTGTGATGTTACCAAACCACACTGTCACTGAACCAACAAGCAAACGTTCAATGGTGCAGCGATAAAAGTTGAGCAGGGTCTTAGAATTTGTGGGATGCTGAATAGGTTTCCGAATAGGTTTCACATGTTTTGGATTCTTCAGCTGGAGGTTGTTATCTTTACTCCACTGAACAACATTGTGGGTTTGTGCTCTGTGAGGATTCATCATTTATGGACATTGGCCATCTGCCCCTTATGGATTACCATTTCCTGTGTTTAAACTGTGTGATTCTTTGTAAAATGCTCCAAGACGACTGTTTTGATTTAGGGCTATACAAACTAAATTGAATTGAATTGAATGTAAAAATAAATGTTCAAAGAATATTGCCAGTTGAAAACCACTTTTCAACTGGCACTTTTGACATTTCCCGACTGTTAATACTGTGAAACAACAGCACAAGTGACATCACCCTATAACTGACAGGTGATGTCTGTGGAGAGGAGAGCTGACCCAATGGAAGGTTTCAGGTTTTTGAGGAGTCAAAACAATCTAATATATCTAATATATATTATAGGTTTTTAATATTACACTTTCCCCCACTCTCTCTGGTCTCTCTCTGGTCTCTCTCTGGTCTCTCTCTGGTCTCTCTCTGGTCTCTCTCTGGTCTCTCTCTTGTCTCTCTCTTGTCTCTCTCTGGTCTCTCTCTGGTCTCTCTCTGGTCTCTCTTTGGTTTCTCTTTCTCAGGTGTCTCTCTGGTCTCTCTTTGGTATCTCTCTCTCTGGTTTCTCTTTCTCCAGTGTTTCTCTGGTCACTCTCTGGTCTCGGTGGTCTTTCTCTGTTCTCTCTCTCTCTGGTCTCTCTCCCTGTTTACTTTCTGGTCCCTCTCTCCCCGTAGTTCCTCTTCCTGATCTCTCTGGTCTCTGTGTGATGAGGGGTTTTACCCTCTCAAAACATGGAGCTGCTGCTTCAAGGATTTCACGTTACTATTTTTTAGAACACATCACCCCTGCGATAAACCAGGGACCACTGTCTAAAACATATTATAACATTTCTTTGTGGTTCCATAAAGTGACAACAGCTCTCGTCTCAGTCCTACAAGCCCCAGAGTTGTCCTCCACTCCTCTAATAAAACAAGGTTGGGCAAACAGCTCTAAAGCACAAAGCCGTCTGTAAATAAGTAACACTTTTGATCCAGCGATCAGAGTGAACTTTCAGGTGGAAGTCGCCCTCTCACCGCCTGCAGAGCGCAGCTAAAACTTGGGACTGGAGGGCAGGTATTTCACAAGACAGATCCAGACTTGTCCCACCACCACCATCACCATCACCACCACCACTACCCCCACCACCAGGGCAGGTCCCCCCCTCTCTCTGACCACGAGCACTGGGGGAACCGTCCAAACTCAGTCCCTCCCTCACTGACCTGCCGTGGTGTCCAAGCGAGCGCGCTGGTCCAGGTGTGCTCCCGCCGTGACGAGGGCGTGCGTCAGCGGAGAGAGGGCCAGTCTGAACCGGACCGCCATAAAAGGAGAGGGGAAGCAGCCAATCACAACGCAGGAGTACGGCTGAGCGAGAGAGACATCAGAGACATGTGCTGTGATGCTTATGTTACAACAGAGGTGTCAAACTAATTTTTTTTCAGAGCTGAAATTAAAAATAAAGTAGAAAGTAGTAGAAGTAGAACATTTATTTAAAGCTCATCTATGCATATCTATTCTTATACAGTGTTTTTTATTTGGAATTGTGCTTTTTTTTACTGCAAGCTTCTAATGCACCATGTGCTCACTCCAACAACATCATATATCCACTATGACACCATTCAAGTCACTAGATTTTGTGGCCCTCTCTGGTCTCTCTCTCTGGCCTCTCTCTGGTCTCTCCTTCTCTGGCCTATCTCTAGCTGCCCTCTGTCAGGTGTCTCTCTGGGGTCCCTCTTTCTCTCTGGTCTCTCTTGGGACCATTTTTCCGGTCCCTCTTTGATTTTGTTCTATGGTCTCTCTCTGGTCTCTCTCATCTCTCTCTGGTCTCTCGTTATTTTTTCTCTCTTCATACTAAAAATAAATCTCTGTTCCTGAAGTTGCATTGAATCAAAGAAGAAATTCGTTTTTTCTTCTTTCTTGTTTTTATGAACAATAATGAGACTGTTTACCTGTAACTCCCTCTGCTGCCACCAGAGAGAGCTGCAAACACAGACACATGATTTTAAAGAACTTCATTTCAACTTAAAAATAACCAACACTAATTGATGGACAATACTTTTGTTTTAAAGACTGGAAACTGTTCTGAGTTATGTACAATGAGAACTGCTGAGCCTGTAAAATTCATTCATCTGTAATGAATAAGTAAATTCTTTAATCATGGTGCAATGTGCAACTTCACTTTACTTTATCTACTTATTATCCTGCACTATATGTACAGTATATAACTCCGCACTACTACATATGTATAATATATATATATATATACATATTATTTTTTTGACTGGTATTGAAGCATTTTCAGCATCTATAGCCAGTTATGTTAGTTAAGAAACATAGCAACTACTTATTTTGTATATATTTTGTGCTCCCTGTGTGCTCTTACTACTGTCCTGTATGTGCGCTGCAATATCAAAATTTCCCCACTGTGGGACGAATAAAGGAACTCTTATCTTATCTTATCATAATCATGTCATAGTGGGACTATGACATCATACATACAGGACTGAGACAGGAGCATTTAGACAGAAGGGGCTACATCTGAAACCCAGTTATGTACTAGTTTGGCTTCATGTCTGGTTTCCTGTCACTGAAAGCAGCTCCTTCCTCAAAAGCAGAAGGTGGTGCAGACATGTGTCGTTCCCCCGCAGCAGAACAAAACGGAAATGATTTTTGATTTTAAAGTGCAAAGGCATTTCCTGTTTGTCCAGAGCCTCAGAGCAGAGTCATACTGCATGTAACCCAACGACACTGGTTCCACATTGTAACACGTCCACCTTTCGAGGCCTTGCTGATTCTCAATGTTTCTGTGGTTTTGCTTTTTATCATATGCAACATCTTAAAACTGCTTGTTCAACATGACACTTGCCTTTATTTAAAGTCAGAAAAAAAACTTTTGTGGCTGTCTCTGGGCTCTCTCTCTAGTCTTAATGAATTTCAATTAATTTCTTGTAGTTATCCCTTCCAGATAACTACTGTTGCGTAAATCGCAACAGTAGTTATCTGGAAGGACTTTACACAACCGTTGAATTCACCAACACAGATCAGAGAATCAAGCTGGAAATGCAATGAAAAAAACTCAATGTTGTTGATCGTTGAGTGTCCTGGATCATCATCTATGTCCTTAGACCCTCCTGCATCGGCGAGGAAAAACTCTAAAACCCTGTAGGCAAAGCAAAGGCGAGAAACCTCGTGGAGGCCCACATTGAGAGAGGGATCAGCTCCCATGGCCTGGAATTTCTCTGGTATCTCTCTGGTCTCTCTCACTGGTGTATCTCTGGTCTCTCACTGGTCTCTCTCTGGTGTCACTCTGGTCTCTCTCTTTCTCTGATGAGGGGTTTTACTGCTTTAAAACATAAAGCTGCTACTTTACGGTTTTCACTTATTGTGGGTTATTTTTTAGAGCACATCACTCCTGTCATAAACCAGATTTTCACAGGGATTGGATTATTGGGCGGCACGGTGGCTGAGTGGATTAGGGCCTTTCTGAGTGAAGTTTGCATGTTCTCCCCGTGTCTGTGTAGGTTTCCTCCGGGTACTCCGGTTTCTCCTATACCACTAAAAACATGTACATTAGGTCTGGCATGCACCTCCTGTACTGGCCCCGCTCCCATCTCTGTGTGGAGTGAGAGACAAATGTCCACAATTGTAAACCGCTTTGTAACTCTGGTCTGTGAAAGGCAGTATATAAATAAAGTTCACCTTGGAGAGACCCATGAGGAAAATGCCAGTTATTAGATTTAAGCATGTTTATTAGATTAAGCATGTTTGGCGCCCTAGGCCCGGGAGAGATGCTGTTGAGCGCGGCGCTTGCTCGCACGCATAATCCCCCCCGGGGCCTAGGCACTGGTGGCGGCAGAGGCAGAAGGCAAGCACGCTTCGATGAGAAAAGGAGGAGGTGGGGCGGCGGAGGCTTGCAGACTTCAGAAGGCCGGGAAGTGGGCGTCTCCGGCTTTTAACTTGCTGTCCTGGTGGTTATTGGTTGATTAGATGTGGGCGTTGCTGGTATGATGAGCCGAGGATAAGCAGGCTTGTAGATCTGGGCAAGCAGCAGCCGGGTCTACCACAGTGAACTTTCGCGAAAGCTCCATTTCACCTTGGAGAGACCCACGAGGGAAAATGCAGTTAGAAGTTTAAGATTAAGCATGTTTGGTGCCCTAGGCCCGGGAGAGATGCTGTTGAGCGCGGCGCTTGCTCGCACGCATAATCCCCCAAAAAGCGGGCCTGCGATGGGATAGCAGGACGCACTGCGCAGGCCTGAGAGCATGAGTGCGAGGCTTCTCGCACGGTCGCTCAGCCAGGCTGCGTCCGCTGGGCATCTTTGAGCGCTGAGAACGTGAGCGCTCGCATCACGTTCAGCCAGACGCTGCAGCAGGGTTATCTTTGAGCGCTGAGAACGTGAGCGCTCGCATCACGTTCAGCCAGACGCTGTAGCAGGGTTATCTTTGAGCGCTGAGAACGTGAGCGCTCGCATCACGTTCAGCCAGACGCTGTAGCAGGGTTATCTTGAGCGTTTGAGAAAAGTGCGTGCCGCCACCAGAATCTTATTGCTTTACTTACTTTGCTTTGCTAGGAGCTTACGAGGAAGCCAGTCGACGTTGTGCTGCCAGGATAGCAGACGCATCTGGCCTGATGTAGGTGGAGAAGCCGAAGAGGACCAGCGCCCCAGCTGTTGCAGAGAAGAGTGGGGGAGCCTCAGCGAGGCCGCACCTATCCTGAAGGAGTGGGCTGTATAGAGCTGGGGAGACAAATTGCAGAGGAGCAGTAGGGATCTTAGCTGAGCTCTGAACCAGGTTGCTGTCATGGGAAGGTTGTCTGGAGTGAGAAATAGAGGTCCGTTAAAATCTCCTTTTTGCAGCGGAGGCGAGTGTAACGCATCATGGACCGGTAGGGGCAGAGAGATGTGTCGGAGCGAGCTATTATTATGTTGCAGGCGCCTTTGATCTTTGAATGTTTGAGATGAAGGTTGAAATGGTCAGGGGACATTATGTTGGGTGAAGAAGAGCGACCTTTGTTTAATGCTTCCACTGCGTCGAGATTATCACACATGACAGAGATCCTCTTTCTCTGCCACGTGTGATTCCACAGCGCGCAGGCCACTACTGCTGGGAATATCTCGTGTAGGGCAGAGGAGATGCTCCGGTGGAAAAGTAGCGGCCACGGCCCGGCGAACCACTGGTCCTGGAAGAACCCCCCAAAACCCACGGAAGGGGCAGCGTCCGTGTAGAAGCGGAGACCTGTAGGGGCAGAGAGACATATCGGAGAGGGCAATTGATGTTGCAGGCGCCCTTACGCTTAGAATCTTGGGTTGGAGAGTAGATAATCAAGATAGTAGGATGGTCGGGAAAGCCGTGTCTCGGACCGCATTGAAGGTTGAGCGAGCAGTAGTGGACGCTTATGCAGAGAAGCCATAGAAGGCGAGCAGGAAGATGCTGCGAGGAGGGCAGACATGTACTTGGAAGATGAGCCGGAGTTCAGTGCCGCTCAGAGCTGCTGCAGGATGGGCAGCATGATGGGGAGCCTGCGATCAGAAGTGAAGAATACAGGTATGGATGCCTTTGATTAGGAGTCCGATTGACAGCTCAGCGCAGCCACTCGGCCAGCTGCATCTGATAGAATCAGAAGATTTAAGTAGAGAGATGAAGCATGACCGCCGAAGCGACCCTGGGAGCATAGGTGCGAGTCCAGCGCAGCGCGGCATATTCAGCCGGGCTGCGTCCATTAGAAGCAGGATAAGCTTCTGAGAGAGTGGGTTGCAGCAGTAGCAGTAGCAGCAGCGGCAGCAGCAGTAACCTTAGATAATAACAGCAATAATCCTGTATCAAGCCACGGCAGCAGCAGTAGCAGCAGCAGCAGTAGCAGCAGCAGCAGCAGTATCCTTAGATAATAACAGTAATAATCCTGTATCAAAGCCACAGCAGTAGAATATTGTTGTAGCTGTTTAGTGTTTCAGTAAAAAGAGATGTAAAGTGAAGAGAGATGTCGAAGTAAATGAAGCAGCAGCAGCAGCAGTAGCAGTTGCAGTAGCAGCAGGAGCAGTATGAAGCAGCAGTAGCAGTATGAAGCAGCAGCAGCAGCAGCAGCAGCAGCATGTAGCAGCAGTAGCAGTATGAAGCAGCAGCAGCAGTAGCGGCAGCAGCAGTGGCACCACAATGCGATTCATACGAACAACAGACCATGTCACGCCAGCGTGCGCTGCTTGTCTCCGTGAGCCAGGTTACATACGTGTCTGAAAGAGCCGAGCCGTAGAGACGGGTGCAGCCTGGGAGCCTGCGGAGCGGCAGCGGCAGGAACAGCAGCAGCGGCACGTGTAGTAGTAGGAGCAGCAGGAGCAGGCAGCAGGAACAGGCAGCAGCAGGAGCGGCAGCAGGAACAGGCAGCAGCAGGAGCGGCAGCAGGAACAGGCAGCAGCGGGAACAGGCATCAGTAGGAGCGGCAGGAACGGGGAGCAGGCATCAGTAGGAGCAGCGGGAACAGGCATCAGTAGCAGCAGCAGGAACGGTAGGAGCAGCAGGAACACGCAACAGCAGGAGCGGCAGCAGGAACCGGCAGTAGCAGGAACAGGCAGCAGTAGGAGCAGGCATCAGTAGGAGCAGCAGGAACGGGGAGCAGGCATCAGTAGGAGCAGCAGGAACAGGCAGCAGTAGGAGCAGGCATCAGTAGGAGCAGCAGGAACAGGCGGCAGCAGTAACAGTCATCAGTAGGAGCAGACATCAGTAGGAGCAGCAGGGACGGCAGCAGCGGCGGTCAGAGAACCATGCCCATGGTTGTTTAAGAGCCTCAGGAAATAAATGAATCTGAATCCGAAATATTCCCATGCGAATAACAGATGTCCCCTGGAGCCATCTTGCTGCTTTGGTTATGGCAGATACGCATGAACGATCACTTTTCCACACGTTCATTAGCTCCAACTCCACTTCACACTCATTTGCAGATTCACATTGGGCCCTTTTTCTTTCTGCTGCACTTTCAAAATGCAGCAACTGCAGTTTAGTTACCTAATCATTTAACACTAGTGACCTAGCCATTCAAATGCATGGCCCCTCCTTTATCCCTCAGATAAACTAATTTAAATACATTTCATTTAACAATAGTGACCTGCGAGTAATGAGATTAATGCTGTAAAGATGGCGCCGTGGCAAGAGCTCTGGTGTGTGCCGTCTGGAGCACTCTGGGTTAGTCTTGCAATTTTTCCAACGTGGTTTTACTGCAAGTGGCAGAACATGAATCTGAATTAATGCACATTGCTCCTCTTATATCCCTCGGACAATAAAGATTGATGCCATTTAATATGCATTGTCCCTCAGTTAGCTCGAACACATGTGAAAACGGAGCCTGCAGACCAAGCACGGGGCGAAAACTGACGCCTGCAGTCCAGTGCGCAGGGAATAATCCATCCGCAGGTCGCAACTCACCACCACATATGCCAGAAGACGTGGGAAAAGCAACGGGACAACGCGGCACCGCCATTCGGAGGCAGGGACATGCACGGCACCAGGCCAGACCGTCTGCACGGAGCAGTAGACCACGAGGAGACGAGCAGCATAGAGCCCGCGGAGGGACCCCGCGGAGCAGCCCGCAGAAAGAGCCCGCAGAGGAGGAGAGCGGCGGAGACACGCGAACCACAGCAGGTGCAGGGACGCGGAGGAGGAGCAGACCACAAGCAGCCAGACTGAGAACAGCCGGGCCACGCGCACGAGCAACACGTGAGCAGAAGCGACCCCTCCAGAACAACGCATGCATTGCGAACAGGTGCGTTAGCGACATGCACCTTGCAGACTTCAGAAGGCCGGGAAGTGGGCGTCTCCGGCTTTTAACTTGCTGTCCTGGTGGTTATTGGTTGATTAGATGTGGGCGTTGCTGGTATGATGAGCCGAGGATAAGCAGGCTTGTAGATCTGGGCAAGCAGCAGCCGGGTCTACCACAGTGAACTTTCGCGAAAGCTCCATATTACTGACATACTTACGTACTCTACTGTACTCTTCTTTAATCTACTATACTGTTCTCTACTCTGCTCTACTCTTCTCTAATACCAGGATGGGAAGTGAGCAGAGCAGTATAAATACAGAGATGACGAACCTTCTCCTTTTTCTCCTCTGGAAACGTTCAGTCACTGCACCACTCCTTGTTTCTGTAGGAAACATGTGACACACATCTGCTGTGTTTTTAACTGGTTCATGTTGAGTTAACAATCGTTACATGTTTGAACCAAAATATATTACAATAAAATCCTATTTTTCTGATGATTATGCAGATTTAATCTGAATAACTTGTTTCCATCAGGCATGTCCAAACTGAGGTTCACAGGCCAAATGCGGCCGTCTAGGTCCTGTAGTGACACAGAGTGGCCAGAGGTTTCACAGCGTCATCCAGCCAACTTCATTTGTTAATTTTATTTCCACCATTTATTTTTTATGTGAATGTAGTTCAATCTGGAAAGACAAGATGCATGAATAGACACCAGCAGACTTAGATTGAGTACTAATATATTTATTGCATTAGGATTGGCAAGTATCACTTCATATGCAGAAGGGAGTTTAATAGAAATTATGAGCTTGCGACCCCCCGGGGCCTAGAACATAACAGCAAAGACACTGAGCCCGAGGAAGTTGTGATGGGGAGGAGGTGGGTTGCTGCTCGAACAGCAGCTTGAGCTGCGCAGAGCTGAGAGGCTCTGTGCCGCCATGAAGTGATGATGAGTGCGTTACTGAGCTGAGGCTGATTGCTGTTGAGGGAGGAGTCCAGTGTGGCAGCATGACGTCTCTTTGATCTTCCAGTCTGAGTTTGCGTTAAGCTTCATATGTTGTTGTGAAAGAACATGTCATACAGTGTTTTAAATCTCAGGACAGATTTACAATCCATGTTGTCCCTGAAGTCTGGTGTAACTCTGACTGAAAGGTTTGGACACCCCTGGTCTATGAGCAGGTTAGAACACAGTTTTCACAATAGTTTATATTTTGAATGAAAACATTTCACCCTATTATTGTTCGTTAGAAACTATAATGTGTCCGTCACTTTGTGATGTCATGTTTTAGAATGTGCATTACTGTCTTCAGTAGAAAATATTTGTGAAATAAGTGTGAAGGGAAAAGAGCATTAGCTTGTAGTTCAAGACTTCAGCCACAAGAGAGAGGAGTTGAGTTCATTATTATGGTGTTTCAACATTAGTACTGAAATGGGAGCATGGATCTATTATAATAATGGGAGACCTCTGGGAGCAGCAGGTGCCACAGTGGGGCAGCTGCGGCTGGAATGTGCCAAACTGTGGTCCTTAGGCAAGACATTTTTTACTTTAACTTTATTTACTTGTATTTCAGACTTCGTTCAACACATAGATTGTAGAATGCACACACACACACACACACACACACACACACACACACTGTCTCAGTAAAGAAACCAGATTAGGATACATTTTATTTTCCATTTTGCAGTAAATTTTATTTACCATTTTATTTTGCACATTGAAACACCTGTGCAAAAGTCCCCAGTGTGCACCACACAAGTACATATATAAAACAAGATAATAAATACAGGAATAAAACAAGCTAAAAGTACAGAAACAATCGTCACTGTGAAATCGAAGAACAGTTGATGCCAGAAATAGAGACAGAGAAAGAGAACAGAGAGATCTATAGCCCGTCTGTCCCATGGGAGCGGATCCCTTTCTCAGGGCCTCCCCCAAGGTTTCTCACTTTTTCCCACTGGGTTTTTAAAATTAGAGTTCTTCCTTGCAGATGCAGGAGGGTCTATTTAGAACAGTGATGATGATCCAGAACACTTGTAATTTAACATTTACATTGATAAACACTTATGGATTATGGTCTCCGCAGTCCATAAGTGCGTTTGAACTGTTTGATTCAAAGGTTTTTTTAAGTCCTCCGAGATAACTACTGTTGTATTTTAGGTCTGTACAAGAATAAATCGAATTGAGGAGACCATAGACAGGCTGGTGACTGCTTGGGCTGGTGTCCTCTCACCGTGGCCCTCCCTGAACCCACCCTCTGTGCCTCTGGGAGACCTGCCCACAGCTCTGGGGTTTCCTGTGGGAGCGGCTCTAATAACACGGTGACATCATGTGTTTGTGAAGTCTGCCGCTGTTCTCAGTGTGTTTTATCATACTGACACCAGAGAGAGAAACCAGAGTGGGACCAGAGAGCAACCAGAGAGCAACCAGAGAGAGACCAGAGAGAGACCTGAGAGAGACATACCATAGAAAGAGACCTGAAGAGAGACCTCGGAGAGACCATTTATTCCATCGGTGTCAGAGTGTTAATGTGAACCAAAACGCCTCGTCTTATTTTAAAGTAAAATTGTGTGCCACTGCGGTTAAACATCATTAAAAAGCTTGATATTAACTTCCACTGCTACAAATGACACACAGATTTACCTATCTATGAAACCAAACCAGACAGATCTGTTAAAAAGGCCAGCATTAAAGATCTAATAACATGGATGAGCCTTTACTATCTGCTCCTCAACGTGGAAAATATAAAAAATGTAGCAGCAACACTGTACGGAATCTTGGAAGCACTGTTGCCCAAGAACTGTCCTTCAAGGCACTTGACTTCTGCAATGCCATGCTGGCAGCATGCCCTGAATCCTCTATAAAAAGCTTCCAACTCGTCCAAAATGCCGCAGGAAGGATCTTAACAGGTACCAAAAGGAGGGAACACATAAAGCCAGAGTTGAAATCACTCCACTGTCTTCCTTTGGAGTGTAGGCACACATTTAAAATCCTTCTTTTAACATACAAAGCCATGAATGGCATGGCTCCTTCCTACCGTGAAGATATGTTAGTATCATATCAACCAAACTCTCACTGCGCTCAAAAAGGGTTAGGTCAGAGGTCACTGTCAGAGGCAAAAACAGTAACTCCAAGCTCCTTTACTTTTGAATCAGCTCCCCATCCACGTTAAGGATGCAAACACAGTCTCTACATTCAATACCAGGCTTTAAACAGTCCTCTTTAATAGAGCGTGTGGTATAGGGAAGACTCAGGGAGAAGTATGGAAACAGCACTATCCTCTTCTACTTTATCTGTCATCATTATGACTTCAGCTTTAGTCTGTTCATTGCTCTCTCTCTCTCACCCACTCTCTCTCTCGCTCTCTCCTTTCTCTTTTTTTCCTCTCTCTTCTCTCTACTTCCCTCTTTTTAGAGACAAAGCGACGGACAAATCAAAGGATTAATAGTGTGGAATGTGGAAGGTGTGGTTCTGAGGCTGTCCAGACTTGCATCCCTCCTGGTCTGGTGCAAATACACACACACACACACACACACACATACACACACACACACACACACATATACATACATACATATACACCACACGCATACCACACACACACTTACTGACTTCAAGACAATATTTCCCCAGTTTGAACTGAAATAGTTTTGGGAAAATTAAAGCTGGGGTACCTGACTTTTATGTCTCGCAAATGAAACATGTTGTTGGTCTTTATAAATCAGACCACAACATGCTGTCTTCACCTTAGGAGAAAACATGCCCTGTGAGTCAACATTTGATTCTGCAGACTGAGAGCTGAAGTGAAAACTAGTGACAGAAGCAACTGTTTTTGAGCCATTGGCGTTATTCCAGAGTTCTATTGTTGTGTGGTTTCAAAGTTACATACCCCAGCTTTAATGTTACTACCCCAGCTCTCTCTCTTCAAAATGTCTGCCTGTCCGGTGAAGAGGTATTTTTAGAGCCGTGCCGCAGCTCGTCTCTGAGTCGTGTGGGGGAGAGGGAGAGGGCAGAGAAGAGGACAGAGAGGGAGGGGAGGAGGACGAGAGACAAGGAGGACAGGGAGGAGGACAGAGAGAAGAGAAGGAGGCCAGAGCTGAGAGGACAGGGAGGGAGAGGAGGAGGACGAGAGGGGAAGGGGACAGAGAGGAGGAGGACAGGGAGGATGAGGACAGAGAGGAGAGGACAGAGAGGAAGGGGACGGAGGGTGAGGGCAGAGAAAAGGAGGATAGATAGGAGGAGGACATAGAAAGGAGGGATCTTTTGTTCTCTGTGCCTGCCATTTTGAAACAAAGAATGGCAAAGTGTGTGTTCAGCCTGTTCCAATGATGAAGAGTTTCACATTGTGGTGGAGCACCTGACACATGTATCTCCTGGTAACTATGGTAACTATAGTAACAATGGTATTGGCACTTTTTTTGGCTTATTTCTCTGTCATTCCTGGAACAATCTAAATGAAACCAAACTGTCACAAACTTCCACATCTTTTATGTCCGCACTTAAAAAGTCCCTCTCTGGTCTCCCTCCCTGGTCTCTCTCTGGTCTCTACTCTCTCTCTCTCTTGTCTCTCTCTCTCTGGTCTCTCTTGATGGTCTTAACGATCTCTCGCTCTCTCTCTCTGGGCTGTCTCTTTGATCTCCCACTGGCTTCTCTCTCTGGTCTCCCCGGTCTCTGGTCTACCTCCCTGGTCTCTCTCTGTCTGGTCTCTCTCTGTCTGGTCTCTCTCTTTATTCATGTATATATAATTTTTTGTTTTCAAAGTTAGGTACCTCAGCTTTGTTATACATGCCTGTTTGAGAGGAGCTCTTTCACAATCAAATAGAAACATTTTCCGGAGAGTTCCAAACGTTCTGAAGAAGCTTTTTTTTCAACTTAATACAGTAGCAGCAGTAGTAGAAGTAACAATAGTAGTAGTAGCAGTAGGGACACTGTAGTGAGGAGACAAGGAGGGAGACAAGGGAGGGGATGGGGGATTTTCGGGGGAAGGGAGGGGCAGATATTCATGTTTCAAAAATGCGATGGAAAAAAGGAAAAAGGCAGTGAGGGGGAGGAGTGGATTGGTCAGCCCATGCACACACCCCCCTTTGTCGGAGTGCTGAGCGGCCAATAGCAGAGAAGAATTCCAGTTTGAAAAATGCCTGGAGAAAAAGGGGGGAGGAGGGAGGATGAGGGGGAGGAGGAAAGGCTACAGCTGAGTTCATATAAACCTCTCTCTTTCATTGAGATCTGTGGCATTAAAACCCATTTAAAAGACACTTGCTGAAATGTTTTCTTTTTGAACTTTTCCTACATGCTTCACAGCCGAAGACCTGCAGTGGTGTTTAGACCCATCCATGCTCATATCAGCTTTATTATACTTTAGAGATTTCATGACACTTTGAAGCTCATCGTTCTAACAATATGCACGAGGCAGTACTTTTCCACTACATGTTTTGGTTTTCTCAAGGTTGAAACTACTGGCTCGTTGGCAGCTGTTGATTGGACGGTCTCCATTCCTTCATACTGTATTATATCTCATGCATTCTGTAATATCTTTGTTCATGCTGTCTACTATCCACAATAAAACATGTCTTCTGTCTGAATTAACAACACAATCCCAGACTTTGTCATTTTCTTCAATATATATATATATATAATCACAAGGGTTGAGATTTGACAAAACAAAACAATCGCAGAACTTCTCTCACTGGTTGAGTTTCGGGAGGCTGATTGTAATGTAGCACCAACAGTAGCACCAACCCGCATCTATGCTCCGGACAACAACAAACTACCGAAACATAAAACAACAGATGGATAGTGATTCTCCTGGCACCCTCATGGATCTTTTATGACACTGTGAGATTTCATAACACTTTTAAGCAACTTTTGTTAAAGTTAAACTCATCATTCTATCAATGTGCAGAAGCCAGTACTTTTCCCTTGTTTTGTCTATCTGAAGGCCAAGCCACATGGCACCGTGGAAGCTGCTGATTGGAGGTCTCCATGCCTCCGCTCTGTATAATACACTTGCATTCTGTTGTGTGCTTTGTTCGTGCTGTCTCTACCATCGACAATAAAACATGTCTTCTGTCAGAATTTAAGACGCGATCCCAGACTTGGCACATCCTCTTCAACACTTTTGTAAAAACTAAGTTGATCATTACAACAGTCTGCAGACGGCAGTGAATTTCCACCTTTGGTATTTTGGTCTGAAGGTCAAAGCTCACAAACCTGTTGGCGCTGTGGAAGATGAGAGGAGCGTCCCTGTTTTGTCTTCTATAAAACCAGGTCCTTCTGTAGAACCAAGACATTATCTCTGTTCGTGTCTTTTGCCAACAATAAAATCTATAAAAAAATAAAACAATAAGATCTTCGCAACTTCAGACATTTTCTTCACCCCCCTCCACAGCATAAAACTGAAATGGTGCCTCCTCATGTTTAGTTTTGAGTCTGGGCACCAGCTGGAGGCCAGTCCCTGTGCTCGTCAGAGTCTCAGTAGGAGGCCAGTCCCTGTGCTCCACAGAGTCTCAGTAGGAGGCCAGTCCCTGTGCTCCTCAGAGTCTCAGTAGGAGGCCAGTCCCTGTGCTCCTCAGAGTCTCAGTAGGAGGCCAGTCCCTGTGCTCCTCAGAGTCTCAGTAGGAGGCCAGTCCCTGTGCTCCACAGAGTCTCAGTAGGAGGCCAGTCCCTGTGCTCCTCAGAGTCTCAGTAGGAGGCCAGTCCCTGTGCTCCTCAGAGTCTCAGTAGGAGGCCAGTCCCTGTGCTTCTTAAGCTGAGTTTACACTGAGACGCTGCGCAGACGTTTCCAGGCTATTAACAGAAACGACCAGGCTCCTTATTCAAAATTTTCAGCGTTCACATGAGGTTGAAAAACGATGTAGTTCTAGCGCCCCCGGAAAGAAGAAGATGACAAAGTCTGGGATTGCGTCTTAAATTTAGACAGAAGACATGTTTTATTGTCAATGGTAGAGACAGCACGAACAACACGAACAACAGAATGCAAGTGTATTATACAGAGCGGAGGCATGGAGACCTCCAATCAGCAGCTTCCACGGTGCCATGTAGCTTGGCCTTCAGATAGACAAAATAAGGGAAAAGTACTGGCTTCTGCACATTGATAGAATGACGAGTTTAACTTTAATAAAAGTTGCTTAAAAGTGTTATGAAATCTCACAAGGCGACCCCCAGCCCCATGCCCCCCCTCCCAGCAGTATACTCACTTCCACTGCCAGACCCTCGGAGCGCACCAACATCATTCTGCATTTTAACAGCAGCTGTGAAAATGGAAACTGAAGCTGGAGCTTGGCGTGGTCTCAATTGGACGAACGAAGGATTAGAATTGTCCTCAGTGCAGCCCTCGAAGCCCACGAAGCTAGTTAGTTTACCCGCCGCCATTGTTGTTTACGTTTGTTCTCCGCTACTGCGCATGTCCAAATTTACGTGCGAGGAGCAGCAGGGAGCAGCAGGGAGCAGCAGGGAGCCGCAGGGAGGTGGGGGTCAGAGCAGACAAGGATTTCACACCTTTTCCCCTCATGCTGGAGTGAAAGAGAGCCCCCGCTGAGCAGCGTATCTAATGGTGCTTTCAGACCGCCAGCGCTGAAACGCTGAAGCCCCGCTCACCAGACGCGCATTCTCTAGTTTTCAGATGCAGGGGTCTTCACACCGAGATGTCCTGACGCGCACCGGAAGTGCCGGAAGTAGCCGGCCGGCTCTGATGCTAACAGAGTTTAGCTAGCGGCTTCTTGTGTACAGATCTTCTCCAATATGTAGCTTTGCAGCGTGTCTTTGAACCAGTGGGGGCGGGTCCCGGCTCAAAAGTGGCCAAAATGACGTGCGCTGACATGCTTGCAATACCATCCCGGGCCGATGGGGGTGGACCCGGAAGAAGAATTAGCCAATGCTAACATATAGCATTGGCAGACCTCTCAAAAACGTCTTTACAGGATGGACCAAAAGTTGGCTCTTGGCCCAAAGCTCCGTTCCACATGTGTGTCAATGCTGAGGGGGGTGGATTTTTTTGGTCCACTCTAGTTTACTTGCTGTGAATTTTTGAAGTCTCTCGTTCAAATGAATGGAGTTGCGCCGGCTGACGCATGCGCAGATGCGTTTTTTCACAATTTTCTTGTGGGCGGGACCACTCGCGGCCATTTTGGATTGCTCCTGTAGAGCACATTTTTTGGCCCATTAGTTAGAACGGCGGAGATAGGCATGACTCTGTCCATTAATATATACAGTCTATGCTTTGAACAGAGACCTTCCACAGGCTTTATATAACAGCAGTTTGTGTTCACGGAGGTGCGCCATACGTTCTTTCATATTATTAAACGGTATTTCCGCATTGGACACACTCGAAGCAGTTGCATAAGGTCACGGGAGCATGACAACCCATATTTTCACAAGCACAGAGTCCACCATTGTTTGGTGAAGCCTGGTGTGGGTCCTGTTTTGGCTGTTTACGAGTATTTTCAGTCTGCTCGCTCAGTCCGCTAATGTCCCCGTGACCACTTTGCGGCTCTCTGATTGGTCGCTGCACGAACGTCCCGAGGAAAGGATGAGCAGAATCCATCTCCTGTGAGCGTTGTTTTTTTCGCTTCTGCTCCTCCCCTTTCACTTTCCCGCCAAGTCCGTGCGTCTCTACTGAACAGTCCGTCCGTGCGTGCCGGGAGGTCCGTGCGTTGTGACGCTCGAACGCTCGTCACCATAGACTTTGCATTTGTGGTGATGTGGATCTGCATGGCCACCAGCAGGAGGCGCACGGAGGTATAAAATGCCTCAGTGCGCCTCTCTCTGTCTACGCCGCGCAGACTTCCGCCTCCCGTGTCCACCATCCTGACAGTACAGGGGTGTGCTGTAATGGGTCGCGTTCGTTTGCCACTGGCTCAGCTTCCTGCCCTTTTTTCTGTGGGTCCAGGTGTGGGCTGGACCCAGGATGTTGTGCACAACGGCCTACTGACCGTGCGCAATGACAGCGTTCCAGAGGGCAGGATGCAAGATCTGGACGTGACCCCCGCTGCCATCTTGCCTTCTTTTTCCACTTTACTTCTCTTGTTCAGATACTTGTCTTTTATATTTCTAATACGACACAGGGACAAATTGATTTATGTAATGTGAACGTGAACAAGCTTTTGTACACTTGTGAAAAACTAGAGTGAGAGAAACTGATTTTAATAAATGTGCTCACTCATGGATCATGCCTCCTTGTATGAACTTACCTGTGTGCCTTAGGGCGTTTTATTTTATTTTGGGTTTAAAAACCCTGGCGTTGCTGGTA